CAGCGCTCCCCCCCAGCGTCCATGGAGCTGCACAAGCTCCGGGTCACTCGGGGATTCTGCACCAAGGGGCTGACTGTGAGCTGCACCCCAGCAAAGCCCTGGCTGGGGTGGGGGTTCACCTGCAAACCATGAAGCCGGTAGCGCTTGGGCTTCGGGTAGCCCCCATGCCTCCGGACCCTGCGCCGCCGGAGCCCGGGAGGGGAAGTGCCCAGCTGGGGGCGCAGGGTCCGGAGGCATAGGGGCTGCCCGAAGCCCGAGCGCTACCGGCTTCATGGTTTGCTGGGCAGCCTCCAGACCCTGCGCCCCCGGCTGGGCGCTTCCGCTCCCGGGCTCCAGCTGCGCTGGGGAAGCGCTGGCCGGGGGCGCAGGGTCTGGGGGCTGCCCGGCAAACCGTGAAGCCGGTAGCGCTCGGGCAGCCCTTTTCGTATGGCTGGGAGTGGGAGGGAGGAGGGGGTGGAGTTAGGGCAGAGTTAGGGCGGAGTTGGGGTGGGGCTGGGGGTGGGAAAGGGGCGGGGCAATGGCCCCGTGGAGGGTCCTCTTTTTTAATTTGTTAAAGATGGTAACCCTAGCCACGCACCTAGTGCTCTGCTGTTTCTGTTTGCTGCGGGAGGGGCGCACCCCCTGCTATGCCAGCGCTGGGCCCCTCTTGCAGCTCTGCGATGCAGCTCCATCCCCCTCCCTTGCTGCAGGCCCTGGCTATTCACAAAGCCCCTAGGCCTGACGTGCAGCCCCCTCTGCTGTATCAGTCTAGCATGAATCTTGGGCAGCCGCTGCCACCTCATGCCACAGAACGGTAACTCCAACCCGAGGGAGGACGCTGGCAAAGTCCCACGGCCAGTGACTCCCAGGGGAGCAGGCCTGGGCTCATCGTGTCAGGTTAACGTTGGCAGCTTTGGTTTTTAATCGTTCAGCTGTGACTGAACGGCTGCAGTTTTGTCTCCTGGTGGATGGGGCTGTTTCCATCCAGTGCGAAGATTCACCCAAACTGATATAAACCTTGACCCAGATTTGTTTTTGAAACCATTCAATTTAATACATTGTTAAAAAGGACATTTTTGCTAACTCAGTAGAGGTCAGAATAAACTATTTACCTCAGCTGTTTGGGGCTGCAATGTTTCTTCTGTTCTTACTAAAGCATTGAAATATAGCGCACTTTGCTTGTGTTTCTAGACATTCAAACTGCCACTGAACGGGGCCGCACAGGAAAATAGGGGGTTGTGCCTTTTTTGCTCCTGTCTTAGAAGGAAAACTAGAAGGTTTCCCCCACCCCAGCACCCATCTGCTTGGCTTTGCCATTAGACCTTCAGCTTTCCTCAAAGTCTCTAGGGATGACTGGAAAATGAGTAGGATTGTAGCATCGTGGGCACCATGGAGGTCTGAAACCTGAATCATTGGCAGGGAATGGGATTTCTATTCAGGCTGTTAGAACCTTTGTCTTTTGGTTTGGTTTTGTTAACACCAATTTAATTCAGATGTCTGACAAACAGTTGAGAGAAAAGCTTTCCAGGTGAAAAACTGACATCTGTGGACCCTGAGAGAGCTCTTTGTACATGCAAAACCCCCAGAGAGTCCTCCAGCAATACCTGGACAGTCTGATTATTTGTAAGGTCAAAAAACAAGCAGAAAAATATTTCTGGTGGGGCTGGGGGACCTCTCATGAAGCAAGAAAGGACAAACTCATCCCCCCCTTTTCAGCTCTCCTTTAAGCATCGAATTCCGGGGAGTCCAAATTTGCACCTAAGGCCCATGACAGACTGGCTGCGCTCCCACTCCAGCAGTGATACACAGCACTGATGCAGGGATCTCAAAGCTTCTCACCTGCACTCACAGCAACCTCTGGGCCATAGAGAAGTATCATCATCCCCATTTTACAGCTGGGGAAACACAAGGCACAAAGAAGTGACATGACTTGCCCAGCCCCACCCAGCAAGTCAGTGGTAGAGCTGGGACCAGAACTCAGATCTCCCACCGCCCAGTCTGTGGCTCTAAGCACACAACCACGCTGCTTCTCTGTAACCACAGGCGGGGTTATCAATGGCAGGTGTGTGTAATTCCTGGGGGACTCAGCAAACAAGCGATGTCTATGGAGGAGAAAACAATGGCCAGCAAATCTCTCACGTGAGCGCGGCTCTTGGGGATGAAAGGAAAGGCTGGTGCTGGGCTGATTACGTGCTGCCTTCAGGCTGGAGCCTTGGAGGGCAGGGAATTTGGGTGCCCCCAGATTTAGTGTTGTTCAACCCCATTGCTCAAGAATATTCAGACGCGAGGGGGCAGGTTCTCAGTCATGCCTCTTGCCTTCCTTGAACTTGTGCTGCTCCCATGGCTTCCGGCCCTTGTGCTGCTTAGAGTCCCGCTTCCCGCTTTCGTCATGCCGGTGCTCCTTGCGGCTTGGCCCTTGGGATGGTAAGTCGGGCTTGGGGTGGCGGCCCTTCCCCTCGTCCCGCCTGGGCCACTCCCCCCGCTCCTTCCCCTCCCTCCGCTTGCCCTCCTTCCCCTCCCCACGGGCTCTCTTGCTGCTGCGCTGCTGCCCCTCTTCCTCCTCCTCCTCCTCCTCCTCAGAGCCTGCTGGGGGCGCCCTGTGTATTTTGCTGGCCTGGTCCTCGGGGGGCCTGTCCTTGGGCTTCATCTCCTTCTTGACACCTCTCTCCAGCTGAGCCTCCACACTCTCTCTGGGCTTCTCTAGCTCCTTCTCCAGCGCGCTCGGCTTCTGGCCCCTTCGCGGCTCTGCCCTGCCTGGGGAGTCCTGCTGCATTGCTTCCACCTTGGCTTCAGGAGCGTCTGCTTCTTCCGGCTCCAACCAGCTCAACCAGCTCTTGAAAAACCACAGCTCTCCCTGCAGGGGACAGCAGCGCAAGGCAACGGGCCCGCTCTTACCACCGGGTCCAGGGCCAGCCCAGGGCGCCAAGACTCTCGTCTGTCTGTCCGGCCATTGCCAGGACAGCTGGCGCGAACTCCATCTTTAAAGAAGACACAAGCAGTTCCGTGCAGGACCCTGCCTCATTCCCTCCTGTTTACAGAGAGCCTTGGCCCTGCTCTGGCGTGGCATGTGACCTACCAAGCTGGTCTGTGGCCCCCGGGCACTCGGGGCAGCAGCCAGACAAGCTCAGAGCTCCCTAGTGCCTGCAGGGCCGACCTACCTGTTATCAAGAGGGGCTGGGACGGTCCCATCTGCACTAGCAGTGACCTGGCGTGGGGGTGCCTGGGGCCAGGGCTGTCGGCAATGCCTCAAACACCACAGCCGTGGGCTCTCGAGCTCCCTTCTACCGCTCAGCATTTACTGAAGCTGGGCCTGATTCTGGGACATGGCGAGTGTCCCTAGGTGACGTAAAGTGCCCTCAGTTCCCATCTACTCCAGTGGTGCAGGGGCCTGTGTCTCGCAGGATTGGGCCCAATGAGCTGAGACTGGCCTGGCTCCTTCTCTCTAAATGGGTCCCAAGGCTCCAGGTGGCTGTGGCCTACCCCTGCAGCCCTTCTCCTGGGAGTCACCCCCTGATTTCAATGGGACTCCCACGAGCAGTCAGGAAGGCCTGCAGGATGGGCCCTGTGCAGGGTGAAAGCCCTTCTCGGGGCCTCCAGGGCTTCAGTGACGTGTTGGCTGATTTTCTCTGGTTTGCAGCGGGGGAAGGGGGGGAGGAGAGGATGGTGCCCCCCCCCCCCAGCTCTCTCCCTGACATGGTGCCACAAATAGGTTTCGCTGCCATGACCGCTAGCCCAGCACGTGACTGCGATCACTAGTGGAGGGCAGAGTTAAAACCTCGCCCCCCGGAGCCCAGTGGCTGCTTTTCGGAGATGGTGTCTCCAAGACCCCTCCTGCACTGCGGCGCCTCGCCTTACCCTCTCGCCGGCACCATCCTCGGGAAGGCTGCGCGCAGGCTGGGCCCACAGTCTGGGCTCTGCTGTGGGAATCTCGTCTGCGTCGATGACATCTGGGAATAGGGTGACCAGACAGCAAGTGTGAAAAATCAGGACAGGAGGTGGGGGGTAATAGGAGCCTATATAAGAGAGACCCAAAAATTGGGACTGTCCCTATAAAATCGGGACATCTGGTCACCCTATCTGGGAACGGGGAGAGAGTGGGCAAGGTCAGCCCTTTGGAGATGCCCAAAGGGAAAGACTGTGCAGTGTTCCTGTGTGCTGGTTCACAGCTGCTGCTTTCCACCCCAGAGCTGGTTACACTTCAATGGGGAATGCATTAGAAACAGGCTCAAGCCAAACGCCTGACCCAGAACTGCCTGACCAAGGAGGACGTGCTGGTTCAGGTCTGAGCAGGTACTGTGGATCCATTTTGTTTCTAGATCTATAATATCCAGGGCTCTGAAGTGCAGGACCGAAGCTTGCCTTCACTCCCCCTTGTGGAGGCTTGTCATTACGGGATCCACCAGGAAATTTATCCATATTAATTTTCAAAGTGGATTAGTTAAACCACATTTAATTGCTGTGTGAAGGCTCTTATTCAGGAAAAAATGGCCTTTATCAGAGTTTGCTTAATTCATTTCCAAAGTGAATTAAGTCTGAATAAGATAATCACACAAGGATTTAATGTGGTTTAACTAATCCACTTTAAATTTACACCTTTGCTTAATTTGGATTAATTTTCCTTAGCGTCCCCATGTAGACAAGTCCTGGGCGATAGGCAGGGAACTATCATTTATCCTTTGTCTTACAGATGGGGGGGAAACTAAGGCCCAGAGTGAGGACTGGCACCGTTTTCAGCGTGCCCACTACGGGTGGGGGCCT